GGTCATAAACACAAGTAATGAAGCTTAGGTAGCTTACCCAACTGATAATCTTCGATTTCCCCTTGAAAATCATTGCCATAGCCTACTTCCCGTCTTAAAAATGGAGAACTTAGCAAAAATTCACGAAGGAAACCTTATATACTTTCTGACCCAGGGATTTCGCACCTGCGGTCATCTCTCCGCTCCTGCGGTACCGCTTCTGTGGTTTTCACTTAAGTTCCAGGGATCGCACCTGCGCCTCACTTTCCGCACCTGCGGTTCCACATGTGAGTTACATTGCCTGCACCTGCTACTTCTGGCTTTCTCCCATATGGCCTCATCTGTGGCTTCCCCAACGCTTCTGCGATCACGCACCTGCGGTCCCCAATCCGCTAGTGCGGTTATGACAGGAATTCAGCAGTTGAAGCTGCACACTTTTAAGCCAAACCTTTCCAAAAATCTTCCAAATCCCTCCTGAGGCCCCCCGTACCTCAATCAAAAGTGTGAACAAGTCACATAACACTATTCAAACTTATACCAACCTTCGAAACACTCAAAACAATATCGAATCATCAAAACACCCTCGGATTCAAGCCTAAAGTTTCCAAAATTTCCAAATTCCACTTTCGATCAAAAAGTATATCAAACCTTGTTCGAATGACTAGAAATTTTGCACACACGTCCCAATTGATACATATGAAAAAGTGGAACCAGGATCAAATAACACAGAGGCATCTCTATGGTAGACTAAGACAATACCTGTAATCACAACATCTAAAACAATAGCATTTGGTCTGGCAGGAAGTGCATAGAAACCGGCCTGACCACCACCTGATCAACCTCCCCCTCTGGGGCGACCCCTAGCTAACTGAGCCCCGCCCCTAGCTACCTGAGCGGGTGGTGAAGTAACTGGAGCTGAAGTCAAGGGCTGACTCATCTGCTGAGATGGACCCTCAAGAAGACGAGGACACTGCCTCCTCATATGTCCAAACTCTCCATACTCGTAATAACTCCCTAGTGCAAGCCTCTCAGTCACCCGTGACTCAGCTCTCCTCAGTTAGTGCTCACACTTAGCACTCCGGCTCAATAGATATCTCATAATAATAATAATAGTAATAACCATTGTCGCATGCAGCCCGATCCACAGTTTATAGTCGATTACGCTCACTGGGGGTGTACAGACTCCGGAGGGGCTCCTACAGCCCAATCGTCATATCGCTGCGACGCGCAGCCCGATCCAATATATATTGATGCGGCGTGCAGCCCGATCCATAAGTATATCGCTGCGGGATGCAGCCCGATACATATATATAATAACGCTACGGCATGCAGCCCGATCCATAAAATATATACATAATCCTCACCATTAGGTCCTCAACCTCTCTCAGTCATTAACCTCACGGCCACTCGGGCATATCAGGGAAACTCAGCCCAACAATTTTCATATATTAAGAAATAGGGTAATGAAACCGGATTTAAACAATAAACATGTAAAACATGACAAAGGATATGCTTTCAATCAAATAGAGAGAGGAAAGTAGTAAACATACCCCTAAGGGTCTAAACAGGTCAGCACAAGGGCCGCAAACATGGTATTCAACCCAAGTTATTAAACCAATTTCTAAACACATGGATATCACATACAATATATCAAAATATGCAACTATATAGTTGCCACGGGACGAACCAAGTCACAATACCTATGGGTGCATACCCACACGCCCGTCACCTAGCATGCGCGTCACCTCATTTATCAAAACAGTACGAACTTTTGGGGATTCATACCCTCAGATATACATTTACAATGGTTACTTACCTCAAACTGGAAGAAATACTACTCCACGACGACCTTGCCTCTCAACTCGGCCTCAACTCGCGTCGAATCTATCCAATAACAGAATCATAACATCAATTTATGTTAAGGGAACGAAGCCCATGCAAAAACAATCAAATTACATCAAGAATCCCGAAATTTGCCAAACTCGACCCCCGGGACCACGTCTTGAATTTCGATAAAAATTATATCAATAGAATCACTAGCCTCCCACGAGTCTATTCATACCAAAAGCATCAAAATCAGACCTCAAATGGCCCCTCAAATTCCCACTCAAAGCTCTCCAATATCAAGCCCTAATACCTCAATTTTCTTCCTTAATTTCCACTAATACAATGATTAAACAATGGAAAAATGGTCATAAACACGAGTAATGAAGCTTAGGTAGCTTACCCAACTAATAATCTTCGATTTCCCCTTGAAAATCATTACCCTAGCTCACTTCACGTCTTAAAAAATGGAGAACTTAGCAAAAATTCGCGAAGGAAACCTTATATACTTTCTGACCCAGGGATTTCGCACCTGCGATCATCTTTCCTCTCCTGCAGTACTGCTTATACGGTCAAGCCAACCGCTTCTGCAGTTTTCACTTAAGTTCTAGGGACCACACCTGCCTCTCACCTTCCGCACCCGTGGTTCCGCAAGTGTGTTACATTGCCCGCACCTGCGACTTCTGGCTTTATCCTATATGGCCGCATCTGCGGTTTCCCCAACGCTTCTGCAATCACGCACGTGCGGTCCCCAATCCGCAGGTGCAGTTATGACAAGAATTCAGCAGCTGAAGTTGCACACTTTCAAACCAAACTTTTTCAAAAATATTCTGAATCCCTCTCGAGGTCCCTCGGACCTCAATCAAAAGTTCAAACTTGTCACATAACACTATTCAAACTTATACCAACCTTCGGAACACTCAAAACAACATCGAATCATCAGAACACCCTCGGATCCAAGCCTAAGGTTTCCAAAATTTCCAAATTTCGCTTTCGATGAAAAAGTCTATCAAACCTTGTCCGAATGATCTGAAAATTTGCGCAGATGTCCCAAATGACACACCGGACCTACTCCAATTTCCGTAATTCCATTCTGATCCCTATATCAAAATTTCCACTACCAACCGGAAAATGCCAAAATTCCATTTTCGCCAATTCAAGCCTAAATCTACTTTGGACCTCCAAAACACATTCCGATCACGCTACTAAGTCCCAAATAACCTAATGAAGCTATCCGAACCATCGGAATTTACATCTGAAACCTTATTCACATAAGTCAACATCCGATTGACTTTTCCAACTCAAGCTTACTCAAAAGAGACTAAGTGTCTCATTTCTCTTCAAAGCCACTCCGAACCCAAACTAACCAACACGATGCGATAAAATACAGCTGAACAACATATAAAGAAGCAGAAATAGGGGAAATAGAGCGGTAACTAATGAAACAACCAGCCGAGTCATTATAGTACAACATGAGGAAATGCGTCTCTATACATGTATGCCATATATGCATGCCAATGCCATGTATCTTGGAGATGAATCGAGTACTCACACTCTCAAAGTACTCAACCTCACTGTATAACACTTTCCACTCATCATACTCAACCATTCAATACTGTATATGGCCCATACGGCCCAGGGAAATCCATCCCGGAACATATACAACACTAACTAGAAGTCACCAATTACCGAGGAAAAAGGGAAATCTAACCCTGTGGATAAATCCATCTCCAGGTATCAAGTACTTCAGACAAATCCATGTCCAGGGAAATCCATCCCTCAGTAATTTATAAATTCTCAACCACTCGGTACTGTATATGGGTCATGCGGCCCAGGGAAATCCATCCCAGAACATATACAACACTAACTATAATCACCCAGTACTGAGGAAAAAGGGCAATCCAAACCTGTGGAGAAATCCATCTCCATATATCAAATACTTCGGACAAATCCATGTCCAGAGAAATTCATCCCTCAATAATATCATCCGCGCTTGTTAGGGGTGTGTAGACTCCGGAGGGGCTACTTTAGCCCAAGCACTATAACAAGCCAATCATGGCATAAATTAATAAAATATGTTGCGGCGTGCAGTTAGATCCCATAACTATCACTCACAATCAGGCTCTTGGCCTCACACAGTCATCAATCTCTCCAGTCTCACTCACGGGATCACAATGTCATGAAACTGACCGGAATAATGATATGATGTATCAATAAGTAACAACTGAGACTAAGATATGATATGAATGCATGAATGTGACCGAGTACGAAATATCAATGAAATCAATGAGATGACAGCAAGAAACGACCGCTAGGGATCCCAACAATATCAGCATAAATCCAAAACATGATATCTGGCATGATGTACAACTAAATTACTTTATCACATGGTGAAAACACAAATATCAACAAAGTGGGCCATTAAATAGTGCCCTGGAAACAATAGAGTCTCAACTCACAGGGTGCATGCCCACACACCCGTTACCTAGCATATGCGTCACCTCAACACCAATCACATAACACATAATTCGGGGTTTCAAACCCTCAACACTAAGTTTAGAAGAGTTGCTTATCTTAAACAAGCAAATTCCTACACCGAGCAAGCCAAACGATGCTCCTAGAATGCCATCACGCGTGTAGCGACCTCTAAACGGTCCAACACTAGTCAAAAGCAACTCAAACACATCAGATAAAGCCCAAGGAAGTAATTACAAATTATACAGATCGAATACTGTGAGCACCTAATTTTTTACTATATTTGAGTTTTTCATCATTTTTCAGTATGTAAATATATTTTTAGTTTATCTATATATTTTAGCCTTTATTTCACATTTTAGCAGGTTTATTTGATAAAATTTAAAAAAATACAAAAAAAAAAGAATTATATTTTTAAGAGTATTAGTTTTATTTCCATTTACAAAGAAAGAAAAGTTTCAAAAAATATATAGTTTTACCTAGTTTAGAACAATTTTTGAGTTAGAGGCTTGAGTGTAGTAATTTTTTCTTATTTTTATTTATTTAGTAGGAGTAGTATTTTATTTTTGTATTTTTATTCATCTTATTTTTTTTAAAAAAGAATAAAGAATTAAGAAAAGAACCATACAAAAGGACCGCTTGGCAAAGATTCCTTTCTTATCTTTCTAACTAACTCTCACATACACAATATATTTTGGATGACTCACGTCCTTATCTAAATATAGTGACAGACCCTTCTTCATAAAAAAGAAAACAAATGCACATGAGAAGGAGCTATCATTCTCTCAGTCCAAAAACGGCCCCAAACTAGCCCCAAAATGGTTGTATTACTGCTGAAAATCAGCCACATAAACTATCCATTAAATCGCCTTATGTCCGGTGTAAAAATCAGCACAATACTTGGAGTAGAATAGGTTGAAAAAATCCAAACAGGCCATGAAACAACTTTGTTTAATTTTCTACCCACGACAGTAGTCGAGTGAGTCCGGGAATCAGAGGTTCCATTGGAGGTCACCTTTGAGGTTCTGGTGTTTCTGCGTCTCTGTTTGAGTTTGGAGTCTATTTAGCATCAATTTCATCTGTATTAATTTTATTGGAGATGCTTGATAATAAAGGAGAGATTTTGTGACTAAAGGTACAATCTTCTATCTTAAATCTTTGGGGGGCAGGGACAAAAGAAAAACAGAAAGAAAAAGAGTGGAATAAAATGGGTGAGAACAAAAAAAAAGAGAATGAGAGATCTGGGAAAGAAACGAGAATAGAGAGAGGGAGTGACGAAGAGGGCAGAGGGTCAAGCATTTAGCTCCTAGGGAATTTGCTCATCCATGGGAACACCTCTAACTCCTCCCCTCATTCAAAACCAAAAAAAAAAGCTAAGGCCTCACCCCCAAACACAATATAGAGTACTACCGTTAGCCAGCTCTTTGAAGTAAAAAATCAGTCCAACTCCAGCAGCCTTTAGCTGCAAAAACCACCACAAAATTAGCCCAGAAATGTCCCCTTTCAACCACCAAAACACAGCACTTTTCTCTGCTGAAAAATAGCCCGAAACTCCATGAAAACTAGCCAAAAACTCCGGCAAAACGCCCCCCAAACTTCAGCTGAAAAAGCAGCCTGAAAGCAGTCCAAAAATGACCCCAAACTAGCCCCAAAACGGTTGTATTACTGCTGAAAATCAGCCATATAAACTATCCATTAAATCGCCTTATGTCCGGTGTAAAAATCAGCACAATACTGGGAGTAGAATAGGTTGAAAAAATCCAATCAGGCTATGAAACAACTTTGTTTAATTTTCTACCCACGACAGTAGTCAAGTGAGTCCAAGAATCAGAGGTTCCATTGGAGGTCGCCTTTGAGGTTCCGGTGTTGTTACATCTCTGTTTGAGTTTGGAGTCTATTCGGCGTCAATTTCATCTATATTAATTTCATTGGAGATGCTTGCTAATAAAGGAGAGATTTTGTGACTAAAGGTGCAATCTTCTATCTTAAATCTTTGTTTATATATTTATGGGTATTTTGCTTAAATATTGGTTTGAGTTCCTTTTATATAAAATTGTTGCGTGAAGTACCCCGTCACATATTTGTTTTAATATTTGCCTTGATGATATTCCTGCTGATTTAAGTTTAATTCTCTCTTGTTTTTTGTTTTACACATTGATGAATATTTGCAGTAGTATGAATGTTCTTGGTATTTTATTATCTTTATTAAGAAATTGGTCTTTTGGGCTAACAAAAAAGAAGATTTTTAGGCCCAACACTTCAAGTCCAACAGTCCAAAGTCAATAGTAAAATTGGTCCAAAGTCAATATCAGCTAGCCCATATGCATATCTCATTTGATCTACCGATTGGGATGAGATATTTTTTTTAGGATCAAATGATTTCTTTATGACTATACATACCAAAATGAGATGACTTAGGACTTAATCAATAATCTTAACCTTAGAAATAAAATCATGAACATCGTAGCTTGTTTTAGGCGCGATTGATTAATCATCGTGACTATGGGTACGGTTCCCGTGACATGGTCACGATACGTAAATCCCAAATTCGGGGGTGCATTTCATGTGATCCGACCACAACTTCAAACAATATTAAAATAAATATGTTGTAGATTGCGGGTGTATTTCATGTAGCGCGGTTTGCAGTGTGTACGAAAACAACAAGTGTACGACAATCGTGGCTTGTTCCATATATAAATTCATAAATAAATAAAAGCGGTAACACCTTCTCCCGATAAATGCACAATAGATTTAAAACATGTAATAAATCAGATAATGGGGCCAATTATATATAGTTGAGCGACCGTGCTAAAACCACTGAACCCGGAAATGCCTAACATCTTCTCCCGATTTAACAGAATTTCTTACCTAGTTTTTCTAGTTTCGCAGACTTTTAAATGAAGTTAATTTTCCTCAATTTGGGATTTTAAAAATAAACTAGTGACATGGGACACCATAAAAAATATCCCAAGTGGCGACTCTGAAGAATAAATAAAATAATCTCATTTCGATTAATGTCACTTTAATTTAGAAAACTCCCTTATATCCCCTTTCGGGTAAAAAGGAGGTGTGACACCTCTGCGACTTTGCTGGGGATAAGAACCCAGAACTTCTGGTTTAGAGTTCCGAATTCGAGCATAGAATAACTGTTATACTTGGCTTTTATTTATTATCTGATTTTTTCGTGTTTAAGCCTAATGTGCTAAATGTCTCTTTTTACCACTTTGATATTACTTGAACTGTATATAAACTATTACGAGACCCTCTTCTCTCTAAGTCTTCTAAATCATCTGGGAAGTGTGCACTTCATGTGGCTTCTTTTCTGTGAGAGTAATATTCCAATTTTAGAATGAGGTTCGGACAAGTTGCAAAGCCGGTGAAGCTTCTGTATTCCCGGTACGCTGCCCCTCTCAGCTTGAGTTGACCGCTCGAGTAAGCCAGGTCTAGAACAATACACCCAGGTTTTTAAACCTAGAATAACAAGTCTCATGCTGGATCCCTAGTAGGAATGTTTGATTGCATCACGTGCATTTGACTTTGGAGACTCAACACAGGGGTTGGGTCCGTCTAGGACAGGTATACCCAAATTAAAAGACCATCATGATGCAACTTACGTGCTACTTGCACATCTTTTGGTTTCGGCTTACATGTTAACCTTCTAGAATAGGGAAAGAAAAAAAACAAGAGTGAGGTAGGTATTTTAAAATTCTAAAACTATAGCGAAATTCTGAAAAATAAAATGAAAAAGAAAAGGTCATTCCTAATTGAGCCAAAATTTTCAAGTGTCATGTTTCCCTTGTTCCGTCAAAACTTACCGAATTGCGCGGGTCTGATTCTTACCGGATGTGAGATACGTACGCAAACCTCATCGGTTTCGTGTATTTTGATGCTTCGAGAGTTGGTATTGGTTGTGTGTTGATGCAGGATGGTAGAGTTATTACTTATGCTTCTCGTCAGTTGAAGCCCCATGAGAAGAACTACCCCGTTCATGATTTGGACATGGCTGCCATAGTTTACGCGTTGAATATTTGGAGGCACTATCTGTATGGTGTGTCTTGTGAGGTGTTTACTGATCATCGTATCCTTCAGCGCTTGTTCAAGTAGAAAGATCTTAATTTGAGGCAGCGGAGATGGTTGGAGTTGCTAAAGGATTATGATATCACTATATTGTACCATACGGGAAAGGCCAACGTGGTGGCCGATGCTTTGAGCCGAAAGGCGTTAAGTATGAGGAGTTTGGCATATATTCCAGTTGGGGAGAGACCTCTTGCAGTTGAGCTTTAGGGAAATTTATTCATCGCGTTCACGAGAGGGTGAACGCGATCGCAAAGGTTTAGTTTGAGGAAGCATCGTGTTCGCGATGGAAAGGTCGCGATCGCGAAAGAGGAATTTTGGTCAAAGTTATTTTGTACTTCGCGAACACAAGGCTTTGACCACGTTCGCGGAGAAGGATTTCAGGCCTGGGCAGAATGTTTAAATAGTCGTCTTGTCCGCGATTTTGGGGTTTATTTCCTCCATTGTTGAACGTTTTTGGAGCTTTTTGAAGAGGATTGAAGAGGGATTCAAGTGGAATCAATTGGAGGTAAGATTCAAGGACTTAAAACTCAATTCTAATGTGAAATCTACATAATTAATCATGGAAATTAAGACTAAAATGGAAGAACTAGGGCTTGAAATTAGAGACCTAGAAATTGGTATTTGAGGGGTCATTTATGGTTGGATTTTGATGCTTTTGGTATGTATGAACTCGGGGAGTGATAAGGAATCCATTGATGTAATTTTTACCGGAATTCAATATGTGGGCCCGAAGGTCGAGTTTTGGTAATTTTGGGATTTGTGTTATATATTGATTATTTTTGCTTGGTCCCTTAGAATATTTTGACGGTGTGATTCTGATTTTGGATAGATTTGACGCGAGTGAAGGCCGATTCGAGGGGCAAAGGCATCGCGGGCTAGAGATTTGACCGGATTGAGGTGACTAATGATTGTAAATGATGTTCTGAGGGTATGAAACCCTACATTGCACATCATTGTGCTATATTGAGGTGACACACACGCCTGATGACGAGCATGGGGTCGTGCACTGTTGGGGATTGTGACTTAGTCCATCCTGAATGACTATTTTACCACGTATTTGACTAAAATCTATTTGCTATCATCATTATTTGGGTTGAATGCCATATTTGGGCCTTGTGTCAACTATTTGAACCCTTCGGGGATTTTTATTGATATTTCCTCACTGTTTTGACTTTATACTTGAACTCAGTCATGTTATATTCCACTGTTTTCATACACAACCATGTTTACTCCGTTTTTAACACTTAAATGATCTTTTAAATGATATTATAGGATGAGAATCATGTTTTACTACTGTCCGAGTGGCTTGTGAGGATTTTGACTGAGTAAGGCCAAGGGCCTATGTTGTGAGGAAACATTTGAGATTGATTATGAGGCCGAGGGCCTGAGATATGTATGCCACGAGGTGGCTTGTTGATATGAGGCCGAGGGCCTGAGATATGTATGCCACGAGGTGGCTTGTTGATATGAGGCCGAGGGCCCAGTGATGACGCGATGAGATGGCTTGATATTGCGCTTGGGCCGTAAGGGGCCCCTTCAGGAGTCTACACACCCCCAGTGAGCGCTGGTATCCATTGTAATGTGAGATATAGCCCGAGGGGCTGGTACTATTGACATTGTGCCCGAGGGGCAATCCTTTATGTGCTTATCTGTATTTTTTGTCTGTCATTTACCTGTTTAATTGGTTAATAGACATTTCTTGAAGTTTAAACTAAACTTATACGATTTTACATATCTTTACTGAACCACTGTTCTTACTTGTTTTACTGCTTCATTATAGCCTATAGTGTGTCTTACGTGATTTAATGCTTTCAGTATTTATTTATGATTATTACTCACTGAGTTGGAGTACTCACTTTACTCCCTACACCCTATATGCAGATTCAGGCGTATCTGGTCCCGCTCCTGAGTGTTGATCTTTCCAGTACAGGCAGATCCGAAGATTCTCTAGGTAGCTGCCGGCGTTCGTAGCCTAGAGCTTCTTTCCTATCTTATTTCTCCTTGTTTTAGTTTTTGCATTAAACTCAATAGACTTTTCTGAGTATTCCAGATTTTTAGATGCTCATGACTAGTGACATCCCGGTATCGGGCTGTGTTGGTTTTGTATTTCTGTGAACTTGTATTATTCACCGTACTTTGGGGTTTTATTATGTTAAATGACTTAATTCTTATCATTAATTGTTTAAAAATGAAATGGGAAAGAGTTGGATGGCCTTGTCTTCATGAGAGGCTCCATCACAACCGGGTTCGGGTTTAGGGTCGTGACAAGTTGGTATCAGAGCCTAGGTTACATAGGTCTCACGAGTTATGAACAGGTTTAGTAGAGTCTCGCGGATCGGTACGGAGACGTCTATATTTATCCTCGAGAGGTTGCATAACCTTTAGGAAAACTTCACATTCTTGAAATTCTTGTCATGCGAATTTGTTGATCCGAGTACTAAACATCTGTTATTCTATTCTCTCACAGATGGTGAGGAAACGTGCTACCGGTCAGGATAGACGACCACCAGTACCACCAGATGTGTCCACAAGAGGCTGAGGATGCGGTCGTGGTCGCGGTAGGGGCAGAGGTATGGCCCGTATAGCAGCTAGGACAGCACCTGCAGATCCACCAGCAACCCCAGTTCAGGATCAGGTCCCAGTTATGGACGCTCCACCAGCACCAACTCAGGCACTAGCTGTGCCTATTGTGATTCCAGGTCTTCAGGAGGCCTTGGCTCAGATTCTATCAGTTTGCACTAGCCTAGCTCAGGCAGTCTCAGCTACTACAGCCAAAACTACTTCTCAGGCCAGGAGAGGCAATCAGACTCCCGCCGCTCGCAAACCTGAGTAGGTCGTGCAGGGACTTCAGACGTCGGGGGCACATCCAGCCCAGCCGGTTGCAGCTGCTCAAGACTATGTAGTTCCTGCCATACTAAAGGATGAGTAGCGTAGATTGGAGAGGTCTGGTAGACTTCAGCCTACGACCTTCAGTGGTGCAGAAGGCGAGGATGCCCAGGGTTTCTTGGATAAGTGTCAGAGGATGCTTCGTACAATAGGTGTTCTGGAGACCAGCGGGGTCGCATTCACTACTTTTCAATTTTCTGGAGCTGCCTTCACTTGGTGGGAGACTTTTGAGAGGCGTAGGCCTGTTAGTATCGCACCCCTTACTTGGCAGCAGTTCTCCATTCTCTTTCTGGAGAAGTATGTGCCGTAGTCTCGCAGAGAGGAGCTGCGCAAGCAGTTTGAGTGGTTGCGTCAAGGAGAGATGACGGTGATGCAGTATGAGATAAGGTTCTCCGAGTTAGCTCGCCATGCTATTTGGTAGGTTCTGACAGATAGAGAGAGGATTAAGAGGTTTGTTGATGGCCTCACTTATCAGCTTCGTATTCTCATGACCAGGGAGAGGGGGATTGGTGCTACCTTTGAGGAGGTTGTAGACATTTCTCGGGAGATTGAGTTTGTTCGTCGCCAGGAGAGAGAGGAGAGGGAGGCCAAGAGGCCTCGAGGATCTGGAAGTTATAGTAGTGCTTCTTCGAGAGGTCAGTTTCATCAAGGTAGAGGCCGTCCATTCAGGCATGCTTAGCCAGCTCGCCCAGGTTATCGTGGAGGGTTATTGGGTCATGGTTCTCATAGTTCTCATCAGGACCAATCATCACTTAGTGCCCTTCCAACTCAGAGTTCATCCCATGCTCCATCGGTTCAGGGCTCTTCTATGCCAGGTGCATCAACTAGTCATTATGGTATTAGGGGTTCCCTTCAGTCCCCTTCTCCAGCACCCGGGAATTGTTATGAGTGTGGAGAGATGGGTCATATATGGAGGTAGTGCCCTAGTCATCTTGCGAGTTCATCTCAATAGAAGGGTCAATCATCGGGTTCAACGCTAGTTTCTTCACCACCACCCACCCACCCAGCTAGAGGTGGAGGTCATTTAGCTAGGTTCGCCCTAGAGGGGGAGGTCGATCAGGTGGCAGTCAGGCCCGTTTCTATGCACTTCAAGCTAGACCCGATGATATTGCTTCTGATGCTGTTATTACAGGTATTGTTTCAGTCTGCCACAGAGATGCCTCTATATTTTTTGATCCCGGTTCCACCTTTTCTTATGTGTCATCATACTTTGCTCGTTATTTGGGTATGCCCCGTGAGTTTCTTGCTTTACTTGTTCATGTATCTACCTCGATGGGCAATACTGTTGTTGTAGACCGTGTGTACCGGATGTGTGGTGACTATTGGGGGTTTGAAGACCCGTGTAGATCTTTTATTATTGTGTATGGTGGATTTCGATGTCATTTTAGGCATGGATTAGCTATCTCCGTGTCGTTCTATTCTGGGCTGTCATGCTAAGACAGTTACATTAGCTATACCAGGTGTGCCATAGATTGAGTGGTAAGGTTTGACTGATTATGTTCCCAGTAGAGTGATCTCATTCTTGAAGGCCCAGCATATGGTTGGGAAATGTTGTCTTTCGTATCTGGACTTTGTGAGGGATGTCGGTGTTGAGACTCCCAGTATTTATTCTGTTCCAGTTGTGAGGGATCTTTCTGATGTGTTTCCGGTAGTCCTATCGGGCATGCCACCGGATAGAGATATTGATTTTGGTATTGACCTGGTGCTGGGCACTCAGCCCATTTCTATTCCATCGTATCGTATGACACCAGCGGAGTTGAAAGAGTTATAGGAGCAGCTTTAGGAACTCCTTGAGAAGTGGTTCATTTGGCCTAGTGTGTCACCTTAGGGTGTGCCGGTTTTATTTGTGAAGAATAAGGATGGCACTATAAGGATGTGCATTGATTATAGGCAATTGAACAAAGTAAAAGTTAAGAATAAGTATCCTTTGCCTCGCATTGATGATTTATTCGACCAGCTTCAGGGAGCGAGAGTGTTCTCCAAGATTGATCTCCGTTCAGGTTATCCCCAGTTGAAGATCAGGGACTCGGATATTCTTAAGACAGCTTTCAGAAACCGATATGGTCATTATGAGTTCTTGGTGATGTCTTTTGGGCTGACCAATGCCCCAGCAGCA